TTTTGTGAATGCAAAGCCGGTTACTATGGTGATTTATGTGAATTTGAAATAGATGAATGCCTAAGTAACCCGTGTAGAAATGGCGCTAACTGTACAGACAACATCGATGCATTTATGTGTACCTGCGCACCCGGCTATACAGGTGTCGTGTGCGAAGAGGATTTTAACGAATGTAATTCTTCACCATGTTTAAATAACGCAACTTGTGTTGATCAAATTGATTCGTATTCCTGTCTGTGTAACGTTGGATGGGAAGGAACCGTCTGTGACTTCAACCCGAATGATTGTATGCACTCAAAATGCTGTCTCTTATACACATCTAGATGTGTATAAGAGACAGATATATACCTGTATATGTATCTCATTGTGGTTATTTGATATTTACTTCTCACCGCAGGACCATCGTAGACGTTGCTGTGTATTGCAATACGAATTACTACAATAGCGACTGCGCCACGTACTGTGTTCCCCAAAATTCAAATTCAAATGGTCACTACACATGTGACTCATCAACGGGGGCAAAGATATGTTACCCAGGTTATTCGGGGTCAAGCTGCACAGTTGATATCAACGAGTGCAGAAGCAATCCGTGTAGAAACGGGGGAATGTGTACACATGGTATCAACTACTTCACGTGCAGCTGCGCACCCGGTTTCCAGGGCACAACATGTACCGTGAACATTAATGAGTGCGCTAGCTATCCGTGCGCAAACGGTGGCACATGCGTAGATGGGGTGAATGGCTACCAATGTCAATGCCGAGCAGGTTTCAACGGAGGACGATGCCAGACTGAAATAGACGAGTGTCTCTCGTCACCATGCTTGAATGGCGCCATCTGCAATGATGCTATAGCTGGATATACATGTGTATGCGCATCCGGATTTAGTGGCCAGTATTGTGAAAATGATATTGATGAATGTGGGAGCAGTCCGTGCAAGAACGAGGCCATGTGTTCTGACCAGGTCGATGGGTTCAACTGTATATGCGCCGGAGGATATACGGGAACGTTATGTGAAATTGAAATTGATGAATGTGGAAGTTTTCCATGTCAGAATAATGCCACGTGTTATGATGACGTCAATGGGTTTATTTGCGATTGTGCCTATGGTTATTTTGGAGACTTTTGTGATTTTAATATCACTGATTGCATTGCATTGTGTGAGAATAACAGTACATGTGAGATAGCTAACTCTACGATGACCTGCCATTGTGCTCCTGGCTTCGATGGTGGCCTATGTGACAAAGAATATGATGAATGCCAAAGTCAACCGTGCCAAAACGGGGCAACATGTCATGACGTCATCAACGGGTTTGTCTGCTCGTGTGCACCGGGATATTCTGGAACAAGCTGCCAAGAAGAAGTAAATGAATGTGATAGTAATCCTTGTGTTAACAATGCAGAATGTGTTGATCTCATTGCCGAATTTTTCTGTAACTGTACTGAGGGTTTCGAAGGGAATTTCTGCGAAATAGACATCGACGAATGCATGTTTTCAGAATGTGTTGGTAACTCAACATGTACTGATGGCATAGGTGGATACTATTGTGAATGTGAAGACGGTTATGATGGCAATTTATGCGAATATGAAATAGATGAGTGTGCAAGTTTTCCGTGTAAGAATAATGCCACATGTTATGACATCCTTAATGGTGTCATCTGTGATTGCGCATATGGGTTTTTTGGGGACTATTGTAACTTTGATATCACCGATTGTCCAAGATTTTGTAAGAATAACAGTACATGTGAAATAGCTAACTCCACGATGACATGCCTCTGTGCTCCTGGATTCTATGGTGAACTATGTGACAGAGAATTTGACGAATGTCAAAGTCAACCGTGCCAAAACGGTGCAACATGCAATGACGTCGTCAATGGGTTCGCCTGCTCATGCGCGCCTGGATATTCTGGCGCAAGCTGCCAAGATGAAGTGGATGAATGTGAAAGTAGTCCTTGTGTGAATGACGCAGAATGCATTGACCTGCTCGCTGACTTTTTTTGTAACTGTACCGAAGGCTTTGAAGGTATTTTCTGCGAAATAGACATCGACGAATGCATGTTTTCAGAATGCCTTGGAAACTCAACATGTATTGATGGCATTGGCGGATACTCTTGTAAATGCGAAGCCGGTTATGATGGCAATTTATGTGAAATTGACATAGATGAGTGCCAGAGTAATCCGTGTAAAAATGGCGCTAAGTGTACAGATGACATTAATTCATTCACGTGCTCATGCATACCTGGATACACCGGTGGAATGTGTGAAGTAGATGTTAATGAATGTAATTCTTCACCGTGTTTGAATAATGGAACTTGTGTTGATCAGATTGGTTCGTACTCTTGTATGTGTGTTATCGGCTGGGAAGGCATCGTCTGTGACTTCAACCCAAATGATTGCCTATACTCAAACTGCTTCAATAATGCAATTTGTGTCGATGGTATAGGTGAATACTTTTGTGAATGCAAAGCCGGTTACTATGGTGATTTATGTGAATTTGAAATAGATGAATGCCTAAGTAACCCGTGTAGAAATGGCGCTAACTGTACAGACAACATCGATGCATTTATGTGTACCTGCGCACCCGGCTATACAGGTGTCGTGTGCGAAGAGGATTTTAACGAATGTAATTCTTCACCATGTTTAAATAACGCAACTTGTGTTGATCAAATTGATTCGTATTCCTGTCTGTGTAACGTTGGATGGGAAGGAACCGTCTGTGACTTCAACCCGAATGATTGTATGCACTCAAAATGCTTCAATAACTCAACTTGTATTGATGGTATCGGCGGCTATACCTGTGAGTGTCCGACAGGCTATGAAGGGGAATTATGCGAAAATGACGTAAAAGTGTGTGACGAATATCCCTGCCAAAATAACGCTACTTGTGTAGAAGAAATCGGTTGGTTTGTGTGTATCTGTGCTCCAGGTTTTGAAGGCGCTTATTGTGACGTAGATATCAACGACTGTGCGATAATGCCTTGCGCGAATGATGGAACCTGTGTTGATATGGTTAGTATTATTATCAAATCATACCAAACACTAAAAATAACACACGTGTATGTTATTTTCAATCTGTATAATTTATTTTATTTTATTTTTTTTTAATGTGCTACGTAAGTGTAATTGACAGTTGTTTTTGCTCGTGAAAAAAAGACATGCGCCTTGAGCACCTTTGGGGGAGATGTGCGCTTTATAAATCTTTATTATTATTATTATTATTACGACCTTGACACGAGAGGAATTGAAACCATCATAGCCTAGAATCGGCTAAAATCCACTGTGTTACAATTTAAACACACACACACACCCTCGGGGTGTACAGGCCTATATGATGCTAGCGTATAAATAATCCTATGATGAACAGACTTTAATGTTATGTATATATATAACGTGTTAATTTTAGGTCAACGGGTTTGAATGCTATTGCCCAGATGACTGGTACGGTACCAACTGCACAACGTACCTGCCGAACTTATGTTTGAATAATAACTGCACAAATAATTCAACATGTCAAGGAACTTTAGAAGGTTTCATTTGTACCTGTTTACCTGGATTTACAGGTAAGATCAGGTTATTTTATGCATTAACTGTGTTAACGTTCAGGCACCAACCTTTTAATGAATACACACAAAGCAGCTTAGCTCAGTTGGGTAAACCGGTAGTAATCACTTGACATCTGGTGAAATATTAATAATTTAAATGTTTAATCAATGTGCAGGAAAGTATTGTGAGGAGGATGTGAACGAATGTCTAGGTGGTGCGTGCTTACATGGAGGAACCTGCCGTGACCACATTGCCGGGTTTTCGTGCGAGTGTATCCCTGGATACACTGGTAAATTCTGTGAGGTTGTTCTTGACACATGCGACAAGGTAGAGTGTAATAATGGAGAGTGCATTGAGGAGACTGACGGCTTCGCCTGCCAATGTCTGCCCGGCTACGAAGGAATCAACTGTGACAACAACATCGATGAATGTGCATCATCACCTTGCCTAAACGGTGGGACATGTACGGATGACGTCGATAAATTTAATTGCAAATGCCCAGAAACATTGTCAGGGAGTACGTGCGACCAAGACGTTGACGAGTGTACAAAAGGTGATGTCTGTCCTGAAAATGCCATCTGTAGAAATACGTTTGGTGGCTTTGATTGCGCCTGCAAGCCCGGATTCACTGGTGAGAAATGCGAGGACTTTAAGGATCCATGTGTTGCGCATGGAATGCCGTGTAATAATGGGGGTACTTGTGCAACAACAGACGAATCTTACAGGTAAATGCTGAATATTTCAAATGTGATGTTCTGTAGTTTGATATCATCTTTTTATATATCAGCATGATATCGTCATCATTCTTAACAAAGAAAAAAAGAGATTATAGCGTTGACTATTAAATAATGAAGTACTTGTGCTTTCTTTTGTGTCATATACTTTCTCTATTTATACCTGTGAATAAGTTAACTGGATATGTTTTTAGATGTGAATGCAGTATTGGATTTACAGGGGAAACTTGTAACATCATCATGGATCCATGCAAATCTTCGCCATGTTTGAACGATGGAGATTGTGAGATAAACGACGAGAAAAGTTACACGTGCAGGTGTACTAAAGAATATGCAGGTGAACGATGTGAAATAGGTAAGCGGCGACTTTTTATATTAAATATATACTTCGCCGTTATTTTGTGACACATTGACATTATTTTACTGAAATTATTAAGAAATATAATTCTGTTTGTTCTTATTAGTAATTGCTACATCAGCGTTTGTATTCTACATGTCGGGAAGTGTGTCTGATGAAAGTCAGCTTGCAGACGATATCGCCGAGCTGTACAGTCTCTCCTCAGGGTCAACTGATGAGGTTGAAGTTGTTGTGTTGTCTGTAGAAGATTATGTTTCAGTCGATACAGGGTAAGTCAAGTATCTTTGTGCTGAGAAATCAGAAAAAAATAGTTACACTTTCTATGCAGAGATGTGATTTCAAAAGCAACATAGACATAGGCCTAACTATACCATGGGTATGGTAAACCAAACACTAATGTGCCTATCCAATCTAAAATAGCATTTTGCAGCTGCGCATTATTTGAATCTCAGATTCTACAATTTTAAAGAAAATTGTAAAACATGACTACCTACCAACTAAAACAAAAATTATGAAGTATAAACAAAGGATGAAGAAATTCTTTGTAAAAAATAAGTCTAAGAAAATGAACATTAATGACTTTCGGAAATGAGATTTGTTAGAGGCCTAGAAAGTGTTTGCATATAAAGTAGGGCCCTACAAAACAATTAGTCAATAAATATGGTTCGTTTTTTCTCACGATCTAGAGAACCTGTGAGTAAAGTTGAAGTCATAAAAATGGTAAATGGTACTGCACAGACTAACGAAGAAATCATGTCCGTAATTACTGAAACACCCACTGACGTCATCGAGAAGGGTCTAGATGCTGAATTGTTCATTGGCGATGCAGTACCAAAGAATGAGTACGCTGAAAAGGTAAGTGACGTGTACTGCCATTGAGAAATTTATAACATCGAATGTGTTCTGAAAAATGTTGGTCGGTTAGGTCCCATGACTGGTAACTTGGTGATGCAATGCGAAAAAATAGATCCACAATAGTGTACTCTTCGAAGAGAATACCCAACTGTCTTCAGCGGGTCGTTCCAGGGGCGGCGCTAGCGGGGGGTCCGGGAGCAAAGGACCCCTCGTCGGAGGAATCTGGACCCCACTTGGACCCCCTGTCGCCGAATTTCCAGCAACGTCGTCGGGGAAAAGTCAACTCGACCGCCTAAAGTACAATTAATAATAATAATAATAATAGTGTAGTTTTATATAGCGCACATATCCATCTAATGCAAGATGCTCAG